GCCCGGCGGGCACGGGAGCGGCGGCGCGCACACACGGTTTTGGGGAGGAGAGCCAGGCCCCTCCTCCGCCCGGAGGCGGCGCGCCGACGTCCACGGCCCAGCCGGCCAGCCGGCCGGGTCGCGTGCGGCGCACACCCGGGTGGCCAGAAAGCCAGGGGTGAACACTCACAACGCGACGCACGCCACACGGCCACGGGGTTCTTCTCCGCCTCCCTCAGAAGCCGGCCCGAATTCACTCGCTCGCACGGACGCGGGGGCCGAGCGCACAACGACCCGCGCCGCCGCGGACCGGCGGTGCCGGCAGGGGGTCGGGGGTCCGCGGCGACGACCCGTCGGCGACAAGTCACCGGCCAACGGCGGCGGCCGGAGGCGGCGGCAGGGACCCCGGGAGGCGGGCGACACCAAACCCAACGCACGCGAGCGCGCTCACACGCGGACACCGCCGGCACAGAGCGGACGGGGCCAGGCACGGGAACCGGGGTCGCGCCGGGCACGCGGCGGCAACGCGCCGAGAGAGCACAACACCCCGGATCCGGGACCGGGGCGGGGACGAAGCCACACGGCTCGAGACGGAGGAGACGATGCGGGCAAGCCTACGCACGGCGAGCAGGAGGGAGGCGCGGGAACCCGGGACGACAAACGCGCAGGCGCGCGAGGCGGCGCCCAGCGGGAGGAGACACGGTCACGCCGGCTTCGGGCCCTCGGACGGCCAACTCCCGAGCGAGGGACGCACGCGGGAATCTCACCACCATCGCCCCCGCGGCGTACCGGCGGTCCCGCTGGCAGGAGCCCTCGCGTCGTGAGCAAAACCGATCCGGGGAAGACCCTTTAAAAGCCGCCACCGCCGCGACGTGCCTCCCCCACACCGGGAGAGCAGCCTCGCGAGCCGAGCGCCGTCCCCCCTCCCCAAGAGAACACCACACACGCCCAACTCGACCGTCCGCCGGTGGCCGGCCACCAGGCCAAACCGGTGAGGATCGCGGAAGGCTGGTGCGGGTGAGGAGGGCCATAAGAGCAGCGGGAGGCTCATCGGGTCGGGTCACCGGGGTGAGAGGCGAGTGAGCGAGCGGCCACCCCCTCAACACGGGCGGGCGGCGCAGCCACAAACCAACGGGGAGGCGAGACCTTTCCGGGCACAGCCGGCACGCCAGGTAAACGGACGCGGGATCTCACCACCCCCAACTCCGGGGCGGTCCCGCGCAACGCCTGGGACACCGAGCCGGCCGACCAGCGGACCGGAAACCCCCACCGCGGCAGCGGCGGGCCCCCCCAAAAGAGGCCCGGAGAGGGAAAAGGCAGCTCTCGCACACACCTCAAAGACCCCGCGAGCGCCCGCGGAGCCGCCCGCGCCAGGCAGGGCCCCACCGCATCCATCCACGCCGCCGGGCACAGCACCCATCATCGACCGCCTCTCTTTCGGCCGTGTGAGCAGGGCCCACACACACCGGGATCCTCGGCTCCGGAGGGCCAGAACCCCCCCGAGCGGCACACCACCACGGGCACGGCGGCCGCGGAACACCGCGGGGCCCAGCGCCCGCACAGCGCCGTCGTCGCCAACGGGCGGCGGCCCACACAGACGCTCGGGAACCGCGTCGCCAGGGGCCGGAGGGGGAGGGGGACGGGACCCCCAAAAACCCCACGGCACCCCAAGCACGAGGCCGGGAAGCCACACACCACACGCCCTCGCATCGCGACCCAGCACAGGCTCCAGGGCTCCGCCACTCGACACACCGCACGCGAGGCAGGGGCGGGGACGGATCGGGAACGTCCTCCACTCACCACACCAGACGACGGCCCGGGAGAGGCCCCGCGGGACCCTCCCCCAGCTCGGAGGGGGGAGGCGCGGGCACGCAGTCACCAACGCGGGCAGCCACTTACGCTCAAAAGCGGGACAGGGAGCGGCAGGGCCGCGGGAGCCCATCGGGGGCGGGCCCCCGCCAACCCAGCAGCGCACGCCGCTTCCCGAACGAGGATCGCTAGAGAACCTCTCCTCACTCTGAGGGTGGCCCGCACCCAACCCCGACGGGAACCCCGCCGGGACCAGCACACCACCTCAAAGGCGTCCATCCTTCCCACCACGGGGGCAGGTAGGGGTGGGGGGGGCAGGCAGGGGGGGGTCTGCGGCAGCAGCAACACCAACCCCGGTCGGTCGGCCTTGCCGTGCGGGGCCAGAGCAAGGTCGCGCACACGGGCGGGAAGCCCACACAGGCCCGGCTCGCCTCCCACTGCAACATCTCAGGTCCCCCGGTACGATAAAAGCCAGGTGACACGGCAGGGAAGACAAGCCAAGGACCAGGGAGGGCGGCAAGCTCATGCGGGGAAGCCACCGCCCAGCGCGACAAGGGAAGAGCGCTCCTCTGGGGAACCGCCTCGACCCCCCCCTCAGCAGAGATGTCAACCTCAGCGATAACCTCTCACTCGCACAAAAGCCCCACGAACCCAAGGACGGCCGGGACACACCGCGGGCGGCAGGCTGGCACAGGCAGCGGACAACGCCAGGATCGGGAACGACACCACCACTCAGCCTCAGGCACCTGAGAGAACCGACCGGGAGCGTTCCGGGAGCACCGCGAGAGGGCAGAGCGCGAGGCGCGGCTTTGCACACCACACAGCACGGGCAAGCACGGAGCACCGACCCTCCCTCTCCGCGGAGAGAGCCGACCCCCGTACCGATAACGAGTCACGGGAAGAGAGGAGCAAGATCAGGGCGCCCCCCTCCTCCAGCGTGTACAAGTCCCCGACCTCACGGCGAGGGCAGGGAGAGCGCAGCCGGACCCGGTCGCCGCACCCCTGCCTCCCCGCACACCACCGGCGCCGGCACGGTGGGACGGCGAGGGCAGGGGCCCACGGGCAGAACGAGAAGAGCGGTCCCATTCGCCATGAATGTCCGTCCCTCGCCTGGCGCAGCTTAGGCCCGGGCCCGAAGGAGATCGCAACGTCACCACATCAATCACACCGAGGGGGTGGAGAAGACAGCCACACGGCACTCGGGAGGCGGCGGCCCAGGAAGCTCGGCTCCCGGGAGGGCCAACAGCCTGGGAATAAAAGCGTACCCAGGACAGACACCCTTTCGTGAGTCACGAGCGAGGTAAAAAGAAAAAGAAAAAAAATCAAGAAAAAAAAATGAAAAAAGTACCACGGGCTGGAGCGTCCCCGGCACTCGGGATAACCAGGACACCTCCTCCGCCGGGCACAGGACCGAAGAAGCTAGAAAGGAAAGAAAAGAAAAAAAAAAAAAAGAAAAAGGGCCACGGACAGCGCTCGGGAGTAGCGCAGCTCAGCGGCCGACCAGGCCCGCCATCGGGAAGCGGCAGGTCGGGGGAGTTGAGTTGGAGGAGCTAGGGGTGATAGGGGAAAAAAAAAAAAGCCACGGAGGTCGGACGAGCCCGACGGCAGAACGGGGATGCCGCACACGGAAGGCAGGACTCGCCCCCCCCTTCTCCTCCTCAAAGCTGGCCACGGCGAGGGAAGCACACCGCGCGGGCCTACCTATGCACCCCAGGCAACCAACCACTCTCCTCCTCGGCGTGCCGAGGCATGGGCCAGAATCCGGCACCGGGAGCGGGGGAGAGATCAAGGACGACGGGACTCAACTCAGCCGCCAGCCACCACCCAACCGCCACCACAACCACGAGCCACCACAGGGACAGGGCCTGCTCAGGGCAGCGGGAGCCCGGGGTGCGGGGTGGAAAGGACGGGGGGACCCGGACCGGGAAGAGACGGGAAAGGCCCGGCACACAGCATCCGAGAGAGCCCCAAAAGACCCGCTGACAGCCACCGGGACACGGCATGCCAGCACCCTCCTGCAGGTACAAAATCCTCACGTCACCACGCCAAAACCAGGTCGTCAGGCAGGGGCGACAACTCGCTGGCGACAGGGACCCCTCGGAAACCACATCGGGGACACCTGTCCCCAACACGTCCCCAACAGAGCCAGACACGGAACTCTCAGGGACAGCTGGTCGACCACACAAGGCGAAGACAAGACGAAGAGCGAGGGCGGGAGCGGGGGGGGGGACGCGCCCGCCCCACTACCCCGGGTGCGCACGGGCTCACGGCACGGGCGGTACGGGGAGCCTTCCCCGGCAGACGCGAGGCACCCACTCCGAGAGGCACCCAACCACCACACCCACACCGCGCGGGGTCGGTGGTGAGCACCCTGCCACCAGCACGCACCCACCCGGGACTCCCGGGCTCGGGTCCCCGACTCCCGAGGTGCTCCCTCCGCCTCGATCTTTCCCCTACGCAGGGCCCACCGGGCAAGTCCCCGCCATCGCGCACGCCGCAGATGGTAGGTAGGTAGGTAGGTAGGTAGGTCCCGGCCCCGAGGCTCGCCTCGGCCGTGCCCACGGCTCCTCGCGCCGGAGAGGTCTGTCCTCCGTCCGCCGGGGCCGTGGAGGAGGCCGTGGAGGGAGGCCACACGGGGCCGGCGACCCAGGCCCTCGCGCCCGGCTCGCGCCAAGCGCTCACTCGGAGGTGACTCCGACGACCCTCCTATGTCGGGGACGGGAGGGGGGTGTAGGTCGCGGCCCCGAGGCTCGCCTCGGCCGTGCCCACGGCTCCTCCCGCCGCCGGGGCCGTGGAGGGAGGCCACACGGGGCCGGCGACCCAGGCCCTCGCGCCCGGCACGCGCCAAGCGCTCACTCGGAGGTGACTCCGGGGAGGGGGGGGGGGTGGTCCGAGTCCGGGCCGGGACCGGCCCCGCCACCTATCGGCTCACCCGGGGACCCTTTCCCCCGACTCCCGAGACGTCCCTCGTACTCTCCTTCGTTCGCCCTCGAAGACCAGAGTCCAGGGAGGGGAGGAGGACAAGGCGTCGGGCCCAGACAGAACTACTGGTCGACCCGACAAAGCTGCCACCCCCGCACAGACCGGGCACGGAAGAGAGAGCGGGCGACGCACGGCCCCACCCCGCGCTCGCCTGCGGGCGCAAAGTCCGACAGAACAGCCGCCCCGGCGCCACAGCGACACCACGGCGACAGTCGCGCCCGGCACCCGGCAGAGGCCGGGCCTCCGCCCGGCTCGCTGCCGCCAGACCTCCTCCTTCACTCGCTCGCTCGGCTGAGAACGAGGGGACTGTCATATCAAAGCGGACGCCAGGGGGAGCACGACAACCGCCTTCCAACGACCGACTCCACCGAGCCGCCGTACCCCGGATCGGCGCGCGCCGGCCGGCTCAGAGCTCCGAATCGCCTCACTCCCCACCGCCACGCACCGAGAGGACCCGCAGCCGGGTCCTCTCTGCGACCTCACGAGCGACACCAGAGCCACCAGAGACCTAGACCGAGATCGAGCCGCCGCGATCGAGCCGCCGCCGCCGCCGCCGCCGCCGCCGCCGCCGCCGCCGCCGCCGCCGGCGACCAAAGTGAAACCGCCCGAACGGAGCGGCCCGAACCCGAGAAAAAGGGAAGCCGGGATCGGTGAAGCCGGGATCGGTCCCAAGCAGGAAGGGGCGGCAAAGACGGCAGGCCTGCACCACGAGAGAAAACGAACCGGCCACCCGCACGACCTCCGCCGCCCCCAACATGGCCAGAAAAGGGCAAGTGAGCGCTCGTCCCACCGTCTGCCTGCCCGTCTTTTTTTTTTTTTTGGGGGGGGGGGTTGTACGTTTTGTTTTCTTTTTCCCCCAGATGGAAACCAGAAAGAAAGAAAGAAAGAAAGAAAGAAAGAAAGAAAGAACTCCCAAAGATGGGTCGGCTCCGTCGGCTCCAGAAAGAACTCCCACGGGAGGCACCCCGCTCACTTGTGAAAGTCCACTGCTCGCCCGCCCCACAACACACTCCCTCCCCCCGCCCCCACCCGCCACCCCTCACAGGCAGGGGAAAGGGCAGGGGGAAGGCCCGAGAGAGGTTTCTTCTAACACAGAGAGAGTAGGTACGTCACGCACACAGGTCTGGAAAACCACGGTGACAGCGCCGTGGGGAAGCGTGAGTCCACTCACCCATCACTAAATGACAGGAAAGCCAAACGAGAGCCGCTGGCTGGGTGGGGAAGGAAGGGGAGGTGGCACCCGTGTGACGCTTATCCCCGGGCACCCGACGGAACGACCTGCTCACCGGTTCGTACTCTAACCTGTCCAGACAGCTAGCCTTTTCTAATAGGCTCCGCCACTCTCTCTGGAACAGGATTCGGGGCACGAGGCGATGAATCTAAACCCTACACACAGGTGTTGGAGGGTAGCGGCATCATCACTCACACGCCTGTGGTGGAGGACCTGGACCTGGGCGTGGCGGTGCACAGTGTGTGTGTGTGTGTGTGTGTGTGTGTGTGTGTGTGTGTGTGTGTGTGTGTGTGCGCGCGCGTGCGGGACTGGGGGGAGGGCAGGTAGGGAACCCCAGGAGGAAAGACAGGGAGAGACAGACGAGGGGCCCCGGCCCAAACAGAGTGGAGGCGTCAGAGGCCCAAACAGAGTGGAGGCGTCAGAGGGGCGATCCTATCTCCCGGGGGTGAAGCATGGTTAGAACCCACGGGCCCGGCGGGCTGGGAACATATGCAGGCAGAAGTGCCCCAGCACACACATCGCATCACAGACGGGTAGAGAGGCAGAGCCAGGCAGGGGGGTCAGGCATGGCAAACACTCTATTCCACACACACACGCACGCACGCACGCACGCGCGCGCGCGCGCGTTACGGGGTGTGTGTACAGTATCCACAAGGTAAAAGCTTATTCACCCATTCCCCAAAGAATAGGAATAAGATTATGTCAGTTACAGGGAAGTAGATCTGATGGACTAGGAGCGCGCGCGGGGGGGGGGGCGGCGGTGGAGAAGAACCTAGAACAGGTGATGCCAGGCGAAGACAGACAGACAGGCCGACCGACCGACCCACCAACGGCACCTGCTTTCTCTCCTATGTGCATGCTAGACCTAAAGTATAACTGGACATGGTAACCTACACAGCACTCCGGGCAAACAGAGTGTGTGCGTCCCCGTGTGTGTGACACACATACTCTCCTCTCGTCAGAAGGTGTCACTTCTCTGAGCATTTAAGATATTGCCGAGAAGACATAAGACGTCATATCCATAAGTGGCACGACTGTGAACGTATGATAACAACCGGACGTGTGAGGATTAAACCTGGAATTAGGAGGACGGAAACGTACCTGTCCTAACGCTTTCGGTCACGATGACAAGTATATTGGCTTGAGGATCTTTCAAAACACACGGGTGTATCCTCCTGGACACGATGGTCTAGGACCACGCTACTCAGTAGCCGCTTCGAAGCCAGATCATCGGTTAGATACGTTTCAATTGGCTTATATTGCATCCTCCAATATTTTTATCTTCTTTTTATTCTATCTTCTCACTAAAGATCCAGTGGTATAAAGCTACTTTTATTCTCTTAATATTCCATAACTGAAGTGATCTGCTTTGTTTGCAGCTTTCTCAGCTTAATTCACTGAGGCCTATTTAGTCACACATGATGAGAGCTCCAGAAACATCTTTGGGGCCACAGATGGCTTTTGTAAAGTCCATTTGGGGAAATAGCAGATATAATCTACCATGTCTAAAATGTAACAGATTATCTCTATGGGACCGATAGAAATATCCAGACGTGCCCTGTCAACAGCCAGTTATTTTAATTTACTTAAGGGAAATCAAGTGAATAAAAGTCTATATAGTTCAAGAAATTTTATTCTGATACCTATATAAAAAGTTTACCTGAGTGGGTGAGGACATTTGCATGAAATTTCACCTAGGGCAGCACTTGATATTTATAATTCTCCCTTAACTATTGCATTGCCTGTTTTCCATTTTCTTGCCACTCCTTTAGAAATGTTCCCGTCTCAATCTTTCACCCACTGCAGCCGTGGGACCCTTTTCCATAATACTGACGTAAAGACATTTGTGTTACAGTATATAAATTACAACCGTAAATAAACTGGGACAGAAAATAACGAAAAGAAACACCCCCTGCGGGCCCCCCTCCCCCTCCGCTCGGCCCTCCCTTCAAGAAAAGTTCCTTGTTTGCTGTTGTTTCATTTTGTTTTGTTGTCGCGAGAGTCCACGAGACTCTCGCGAGCGGACTCTCGGGGGAGTCGCCAACTTCCGCCATCAGCCCCGAATCTCTCGGGGG